TTTTTTTCCTGCTTATGTGGTGCTGAGGAATTGAACCCAGGGCCTCATGCATGCAAGGCAAGCGCTCTACCACTGAGCCACCTTCCCAGCCCAAGCTCTGTTTTAATACACATGCAAAATGCCAGGGAGAAAGTGATCAGTGTCTTGAGAAAGACCCTGAAGTGAGATTACATAAAATTACTGAAGCAATGAGAGGGCCTCATTTGGTACCAGAAGAAGGTGATGTTTCAGCTAGATCATTTATTGATTCAGTAAAAAAATGTAGAGCCCTGTCTTGTGTTTGGCACAGAGCTAAAAGCTAGAGGAATGAAACAAGTAAGTCAGACTTGTCTTCAAGGCCATGCAAACAAATATTTATAGTATGATGTGTGCCGTGGTTGAAAAGAAAATGTGTAGTAGAGCATATAGGAGAAGCATGTAATTTAAACTGTGGGAGAGCCAGGCGCCAGTGGCTCACGCCTATAATCCTAGCTACTCAGGAGGCTGAGATCTGAGGATTGCGGTTCAAAGCCAACTCGGGCAGAAAAGTCCACGAGACTCTTATCTCCAATAAACCACTCGAAAACCGGAAGTGGCGCTGTGGCTCCAGTGGTAGAGCACTCACCTTGAGCTGAAGAGCACAGGGACAGTGCCCAAAATAAATAAATAAATAAATAAACTGTGGGAGACAGTAGGAAGTAGTGGGGAATCAGCAAGGAATTCCTACAGAAATTTCTTAAAACAATGGAAAGATAAGCCATAATACTAGCAGTCTGATCAAGGAAGTAAGACTTTTTCACTCTAAATCCTTCCTGTAGTGTTTTAATTTCTTAAGAGGAGCATGAATGAATCCTTAATGTGATGGTGTCAGTTTTATCGTCTTACCTCACTTAATTTTTCTTTGAGTTCTTTCTTTTCTTCTTGGATGCATTTGAGTTCTGCCTGTAGCTCAGCCCCTGCCCCTTCTGCTTTCTGCAGCTGGACCTCCAGGTGAGTCTTCTTTTCCCATAGGGCTTCCCTAGTTCTCTCTGCCTCTTCGAGGTCCACCTGCAAAGAGCTTCTTGCCTGTTCTGCTGCCTCCACTCTGCTGCACACAGACTGGTTGCTCTGCTCCAACTACTGGTCAAAAAGGGAAGGGGGTATGGAGAATCAAAGACAAGCGGTTATAGTTTCCCTAGTCTCAAGTGGTGAGATTGGAATCCAAGTGACATATGAATCAATCCTCCAGAGATGAACACAGGAGTGCTTAGAGAGAAAAATCCATTCAGTTTAACTGTATGGTATCAGTGCTAGATTGGCTAGATGCTGGGGAAAGAGATTTAAAAAGGTAAAATCCAGCTAGGGTTCAAAAGGACAGGGATGCAAAAACATCCCTTATTAAAATTATAGGATAAAATTTGTAACATATAGAGATTTGGAGGAACTTTGGCTCTTCAGCAGATTCTATTCTGGTATTCACTAATATCTCAAATTAACAGGATTAAAAACTATATTTTGCTTTCAGGGTTGGAGCCCCTTCTTAGTCCTAATGATTTACCCTTAAGATCAAAGGTAGTTCTGCTGGGGGTATGGGAAAGAAATATTTCAAGTGGCTAAATCTAATCCTGTGCACTCCTCAGCACCCTACCCTATTATAAGCATCAACTCTGTCTCTGGTTTATCCTAAGTTGGCCCAGCCCTACCCTGAGATCAGACAAATCTTGCTCACCTGGAGAAGCTGTTGGTTTAGCCTAAGTTTATCTAAGGCCAAAGCCTCATTTAAGGCACTGAGCTTGATAGCAGCAGCCCGAAGATCAGCTACCTCTGCCTTCAGGCCGTTCTCAGAACTTGACAGCTCAGCAATGGATTGTTCTGCCTAAAAACAAAGAGTGTTAAGGAGTTTCCTATTTCCAGTTTTCCTCAAACATTCCCAATACCTGCCCCCCATTTTTTTGGGGGGGTCAGTCATGGGGCTTGAAGTCTGGACCTGGGCTCTGTCCCTCAGCTCTTCAGCTCAAGGCTGGCGCTCTACCACTTGAGCCACAGTGCCACTTCTGGTTTTCTGGTGGTTAATTGGAGATAAATTTCACAGACTTTCCTGCCCGAGCTGGCTTTGAACCATGATCCTCTCAGATCTCAGCCTCCTGAATAGCTAGGATTATAGGTGTGAACCACTGGTGCCCTGCTACCTCCTTTTCTTATACAAAGATGTTATCAGTTCATCTCTTCCCTTATGTTCTTATTAAATTTTCCTTTCATTCATTTATTCATTTTTTAGGAGCTCTCAGTATAGAAACACAGCTATAATAATGCATAAATAAGTACAGTTGTAATGATGCCATAGAAAATGCAAATACAAAGTGCTCCAGGAGGTCAAAGATGGCATTGAATCAGTTTGGGAGAGTCAAGAATGATCAGTAGAGGAGTTGACACTTAAGTTGGGTATTAAGAGATCAACAAATCATAGTTATTATGCAAGAAGGGAAGAAGTAGTCCAGGTAAAGAGAAAAGCATATGCAAAGTATTGGGAGTTAGGAAGAAACTTAATTGTGAATACAAATATGCTGTGGCAGAGCAAAGGATACAAGCAGTTAGGATAGGGTTTTGGCATGGATGGAGAAATCAGAAATAGTTTGACAGGTAGAGAAGGGCTTTGACTGTGACGACAGTTGGAAAACCATTGGATATTTTTAAGAAACTGACATAATTGGATTTAAACTTCAGAGACCTCATCTAAGTCCAGTGTAGAGGATATACCAGGAGGGAGAGGATCCAGAATCAGATTAGTCACTGAAGAAAGAAGACATAAAGGTGATGACTTAAAGGGCGGAGAATCAAACAGGCTTCATGCTCCTTTCCTGGAAACACAACTTTCCAAACTGCACACCCAGAAAGTGAGGAGGAAGAGATCTACATACCCTGGCCAGTGCTGCAGTCACTTCTGCTTGCTCTTGCCTCAGTAAGTCTCCTTCCAGGCGACTTGACTGCAGGGCTTCGCGAAGAGTGATCAGTTCACTGAGTGACTCTGACTGCTTAGCTTCTAGGCCCATCAACATCTCCTGACTAAGAAGGAAGGAGAAGGGCTGAGAATGTGGCTTAGTGGTAGAGTGCTTGCCTAGCATGCATGAAGCCCTGGGTTAGATTCCTCAGTACCATATAAACAAAAAAGCCTGAAATGGTGCTGTGGCTTAATGGTAGAGTACTAGCCTTGAGCAAAATGAGCTCAGGAACAGTGCCCAGGCTCAAAGTTTGAGCCCCAAGACTGGAAAAAAAAACAAGAAGGAGAGTAGAGGCTACAGAGCCAAACCCTAACAGGTAACAAGAATTAATCACCTTACTGATGCAACAGAATGAGGATAGTCTTTAAAAGAGCCTAAGGGGAAAAAAAATCCAAGACATGTCAAGTGAAAAAAGCAAGGTTCAGGACAGTATATATAATGGACTGCCTTTTGTGAAAAAAAAAAAGAAGAAAAATCTGCTTATGTTTGAATGAAGTAGCACTGAAAATTAAAGAGGAGAGGAAAAAAAAAATCCAAGACATGTCAAGTGAAAAAAGCAAGGTTCAGGACAGTATATATAATGGACTGCCTTTTGTGAAAAAAAGGAGAAAAATCTGCTTATGTTTGAATGAAGTAGCACTGAAAATTAAAGAGGAGATTAACTTTAGTTACCTATAGGAGGGAGAGAATGAGATAGAAAAGGCAAAAATATGAGACTTCTCTGTGTATAACTTTTTAGATTATTTAATACTTTAAACATTAACCTAAGTGCTGGTGGCTCACCCCTATAATCCTAGCTACTTGGAATCTGAGGATTGCAGTTCAAAGCCAGCCTGAGCAGGAAAGTCCTTGAGACTCATCTCCAATAAACTTCCCCCAAAAGAGCCAAAAGTAGAGCTCTAATTCAAGTGGTAGAGTCCTAACCTTGAGCAAAAGAAGCTCAGGGACAGAGCCCAGGCCTTGAATTCATGCCCCAGAACTAGCACCTCCCCCAAAATTAAACATATAATTAAGCCAGGTGTGTTACATTAAATTATCTATCCTTCCTCTGATACAGGGGTGATCTGTTCCAACACAAGGCATGATCTTTATGGCAATTCTTCAAACTTTCACTTTCAGAGACTACAGGTACAAGGAAAGGAGGAGTATACACCAAGGGTAAGGAAATAGCTCTGTTATCAGTTATTTATTTATTTGCCAGTCCTGGAGCTTGAACTCAGGGCCTGGACCCTGTCCCTTAGCTGCTTTTGCTCCAGGCTAGCAGTCTTCCACCTCAGCCACAGTGCCACTTCTGGCCTTTTCTGTTTATGTGGTACTGAGGAATTGAACCCAGGGCATCATGCATGCTAAGCAAGCACTCTACCAACTAAGCCACATTCTCAGCCCCTCTGCTATCAGTTATTCAAGACCTACCATATAATAGGATCTATGCTGGCACAGAAGAAAAAAAACCTGCTCTAATCTTTCTACCAACCCTTCAGTACTATCTGAAGAGCCAGAATCACTATTTTGTCTATCAAATAAGAGAGATTTGCAGATCAGTGGAGACCACTGACTGAAATACTTTTCTTCCTTTTATTTTTTTATTTTTTGTGTGTGTGCCAGTCTTAGAGATTGAACTTAAGACCTAGGAGCTGTCCTTACACTTCTTTTGTTCAAGGCTAGCACTCTATCACTTGAGCCATAGTGCTACTTCCAGCTGAAGAGAAGCATCTCTTGATCTTTTCTGCCAGGACTGACTTCTAACAGTAATCCTCAGATCTCAGTCTCCTCAGTAGCTAGGATTACAACAGATGTGAGCCACCACCACTGCCTGGCTTCCTCTTCCTTTTTGTTTTACTCTTCCTTTACATTTTTGCTCCCAGCCAGTACTCTATTACTTGAGCCAGGCTTCCAGTCTGACATTTTGCTGATTAAGTGCAGATAGAGTCTAACAGACTTGTTTGCCAATGCTAGCTTTGAACCAAGATCTTTCAGGTCTCAGTCTCTTGAGTAGTTAGGATTACAGAAGTGAGATGCCAGCACCTTGCTTAGACTTTCCTTTGCTTTTTGTGTGCTATCCCAGGGGCTTGAACTCAGGGACTAGGCACTGTCTCTGAGCTTTTGTGCTCTAGGTTAATGCTCTACCACTTGACCATAGCTCCACCTCTGGCTTGTTTGGTGCTTAATTAGAGATAAGAATCTCATGGACTTTCCTGCCTGGGCTGGCTTCAAACCATGATCCTCAGATCTCAGCCTCCTGAGTAGCTAGGATTACAGGTGTAAGCCCAGTGCCTGGCTGGACTTTCGTCCTCCTCCTCCTCTTCCTTCTTCTTCTTCTTCTTTTTTTTTTTTTTGCTGATCCTGGGTTTGAATTCAGTGCTTAGATGCTACCCCTGAGCCTCTGCTCAAGGCGTGTTCTACCACCTGAGCCACAGTACCACTCCCAACCTTTTCTGAGTAGTTTACTGGAGATTTGAGTCTTGCAGACATTCCTGTCCCAGCTGGCTTCAAAGAAACTCAGATCTCAACCTCCTGAGTACCTAGGATTATAGGCATGAGCCACCTGTGCCTGGCTTGGACTTTCCTTCTCAATCAATCATTTCTTATTACTTCACAGTGTATCTTATTCTTTAGCAGCCCAGCCTACTCTGAACATGAATACGCCTTTCTGCTTTTAGTTTGCTATTGTTTGGATTGTTTTGAAATACTTCTCCCATCAATCAGTATAGGTCTAGGTCTACCTCCTCTCCCATAAAGCTTTACATGCTCCTCAATAAATGTTACTTTTTTTTTTTTTTGGTTGTTGTTGAGCTTGAACTCTGGGCCTGGGCGCTATCCCTCAGCTCTTCAGCTCAAGGCTAGTGCTCTACCACTTAAGCCACAGCACCACTTCCAGTTTTCTGAGTAGTTTATTAGAGATAAGAGTCTCATGGACTTTCCTGCTTGAGCTGGCTTCTATCCACAATCCTCAGATCTCAGCCTCATGAGTAGGTAGGATTACAGGCATGAGCCATTGGTGCTAAATATTGCTTTGAAATTCTATTTAGCTCATACTTTATCTCACATCATGTCACAGTTGTTTACTTATCTGTCTTTTCCATAATACCATAAGGTTCTTGAAATAAGGGCTTGTCTTACTCAATTTTGTATCCCTCTTTCTGCAGAAGAAGGAGTAGTAAGCTAATCTGAACCTACTGTGTTTTAAGTTTCTGGGTCTTCACTTTGTAAGAGATGGGAGTCGATTGAGGACGGTGTGGAACAAAAGGCAGGCTAGACGCCAAGAAGGACAGGTCCCACTTACAGACGATCCCTCTCTCGGACAGCCAGATGCAGCTCCTCCTGCTGCTCCTCCTTTTCTCCCTGGGCAGTGTCACCCTGCAGCTGTAGCTCCATATTGGCAGTTCGAAGTCTCCATGCCTCCTGCTCCAGCACCTCCAGTTGATGCTGTAGCTCTTCTCTGGCCTTCTGCAGGAGCTCTCGCTCCCTGTAAAGAGGAGACTAGAGATGAGCAGACCTCAAGACCTATATTCCTTGCTGGAAGCAGGGTCAAATGAGAGAAATACTTGTTTCCTTTAAACATTCATCTTTCCTTCTGAGCAGGAAACCATTTTTTATAATGTCAAAACCCAAAAGCTTTTCCTGCAAAAACAAGAGACCAAAAAAGAAAGCAACCTTGTTCAGTCCAAAGTCTCAAAGACAGCAGGAAGAGTCATTCAAAAATGGGTGCCAGTGGCTCACAAATGTAATCCTAGCTACTCAGAGGCTGAGATCTGAGGATTGTGGTTAGAAGCCAGCCTGGGCAGAGTCTGTGAGACTCCTATCTCCAATTAACTACCAAAAAAGCCAGAGGTAGAGCTGTGGCTCACGTAGTAGAGTATAAGTCTAGAGCACAAAAACTCAGGAACAATGCCCTGGCCATGAGCAAGCCCCAGGGGATGTGTGTGTGTGTGCATGCGCGTGCGCGCACACACACACATACACACGCACACGCACAGAGTGATGGGGATAAATGGCTAAATGAGGACTGAAACCAGATGTGGAAGGCAAGCATGAAAAGCTTATCTGCTCACTTGCTGAGAGAGTCCACCTCTCCCTGAAGGCCAGTAGCCTGCCCTGCCAGAGTGTCCCGCTCCCCAGTGAGTGTCTGCAGCCTTTCTTTCAGGTTTTTTCCTTCTTCTTCCCATTGATCATGCTGCTGCTGCAAGAAGTTCATAGCCTCCTGGCAGCCTGAAAGCTGCTGCTGTAGGTCCTGTGGAGGGAGAACAGCAGAAATGAGATGATTAGCAAAAGGATTAAGAGAAAAAGAAGGATTTCAAAAGCTTGACAGCAGGGCTGGAAAAGGAGACTGAAAGTTGGTGCAACAAGGATTAAGTTGGACCAGAGATGGGGCTAGTTGAGAAGTCAGAGGACCAGAGGTTATTGGGCTTTTGTGACTCTATTCTCTATTCATCATCTTCAAATGCACAGTGGCATAGGGAGATGGACATACACCCAGACTGTCCCAGGATTCTTTTCTTATGCTATGCCAAGATCACATGCAAAATAAAGCATGTCACTGGCTGGAGAATGTGCTTGTTATCCTCAAGCACAAGAGGGCAAAAAACACAGGAGGTTCTAATGGTCACTTTGGGGAACTGACTAAATATTGCACAAATGGCCAACTAACAGGGGCAGTCCAAGCTAGGGAAGTACCTAGGGCACACATCATTTTGGCTCCCAGATGTATGGCTGAGTGGCACTGGGGTTCTCACCTGAATAGTCTGGTGTCTCCGAGTCAGCACCAAATGCACCAGAGTGAGAGCCTTGTCTGGGTCCTGGGGGTCAAACTGAGAGGAGAAGCCACTAGAGTCCAACGGCAGGGAGCTCTCATGACCACACTCTTGAGCTATATTGTCTCCTTCCACCAAAGCCTGAAACCCAAAACAGTGTGCTCACTACCCCACTGACCGAAACTTACTGTCCACAGACCCAAAACAGTGTGGTCACCACCCCAATGACTGAGGTCAACTATCCACAGAGGGGCTTACACTATAGCCTGTAGTATTCCAAGCTTTTCTTTCTCAGGGCCTCTCCTGAGGGTAACAAAAATGGCTGTTCCTACAACTTTCCACCTTTGGTCACTCAAGTCTAGGATGAGCAACAAGGCTAGAATTCCTTGTAGAGCAATAACAGATAAAGAAATGTAGGAAGATAAGACCATTGCTGTGATAAAAACCTAGATTTAGCCTATGACCTGAGAACTGCTGCTGGTAATAGGAAAGAGAGCCACCACACAGTAATAGGACTAGAATGCTTACCTACCCCCTAGGATTTCAACCTTCAAATAACTTCAGAGAACTCATCCTTACATGACCCTAAACCCAAACTTCAGAATGGCTTGAACTGAGATAGACTCATAGGACATGGAGGCCTGGGGAGAAGAGCAAGGCACTACCCAGTTACCACAACAGAAGGCTTACTAGTACCTGAGTTATGTCCTTGATTACGTGCTGCAAAGACAACTTCTCCGCTTGGACATTCCTACTAAGAGATGCTTCATGTTCCATTAACTCAGCATGATGTGTTTCCTGAACAGGGAACAGAACAAGGCCAATGTTTTAAGAGAAATTCATAGCTAGGCATGGTGGCTTGAGCCTATAATCCTAGCTGCTTGAGAAGAATAGATTAGGGGATATACCTATACTATGAATTCATACTCATATACCTATGGACTATATCTTGTTTAGCCTATTATATAAAATTTAAGTGAATACAAATTTAAAAATTTGGCATAAAAATCTCAAAAAGTTAAGGATTGTGACAGTCCATATCTTTAATCCTAGCACTTAGGAGGCTGAGGCAAGAGAATTGCAAATTCAAGACCAGCCTGGGCTATATAGTGAGAACGTATCTCAGAAAAACAAAGCAAAACAAAAGTTAACAACTTCAGCTCCCATTCCTAAATGGAAATAATTTACTGAAGTTGAAAAGTATAATGCCTACTTGACATTTTACTTCAGGATCCTTCATACTGAGCTCAACTGTCTCCTGCAGAACTGAAAACTAAACATGAGAGTTCTAGAAAACCAGAATTTATGACCCAATCCGCTTGACTAATTTATTATTTAACTCCTGTAAGTATTTGAATTAGAAAATTCTTGACAAAAGGGAATAAATGTATATCCAGGATGGCTCACACTTGTGGCCAAGATCTGAAGATCATGATGTGAAGTAAGCCTGGGAAGACAAATGCAAGACATTTATTTTCAATTAACCAACACAAAGCCAGAACTGGAGGCATAACTCAAGTGGTAGAGTACCAGTCACGAGCAAATATACTGAACAAGAATATGAGACATTGAATTTAAGCCCCAATACTGGCATAACAAAACAAAACAAAACAAAACAAACAGAAAAACTCAGAAAAGCTAGCTCCAGAGGACTCAACTGGTATTAGAAGATTAGGGAGGCAGGGCGCCGGTTTCACACCTGTAATCCTAGCTACTCAGGAGGCTGAGTTCTGAGGATCACGGTTCAAAGCCAGCCTGGGCAGGAGAGACTGTGAGACTATTATCTCCAATTAACCATCAAAAAACCAGAAGTGGTGCTGTGGCTCAAGTGGTAGAGTGTTAGCCTTGAGCTGAAGCGCTAAGGGACAGGACCCAGGCCCAGAGTTCAAGCCCCACAACCGACAGGAAAAAAAAAAAAGATTAGTACCACATAAACAGAAAAAGCCAGAAGTGATGCTGTGGCAGCAAAAGAAGCCCAGGGACAGTGCCTAGACACTGAGTTCAAGCACCATGACTGTCAAAAAAAAAAAAAGATTAGGGGTATGCATGTGAACAGCAGTTCAGGAGCTACCTAAAATCAGAGACCTAAAAATTTGATTCTAATGTACAATCTTAGAGAACATTGCAGACAGTGTTGTCAGGGACCAAACCCTCACTCCTTTACTAAACAGGATGTTCAAATGAACAAATTTAATTTGAGCCCAAACCTACTACCCTTTAGCTTCTAGCCACTGATATTGGTTCTTCCCTGAAAAACAATGAACATATCAACTTTCTTTTCCCAAATATCAGACTGTCAAACAATGTGAGAACAGCCATTGTGTCTACCTCAAACCTACCCTAAACCTTGCTATATTCCTCAGTGGTTTCCCTAATGTCTATGTTCTAAAATTTCTTCCGATTTTTAAAAAAAATTTTGGTTACACTGGGTGTTTAAAGTCAGCACCTCATACTTGCAAGGTAAGTGCTCTACTCCTTGATCCACTCAACCAGTATGAAGAGGTTTTAAATTTCTCCATGTATCTCCTTCTTAGTGGCTTGTTAATTTGATAAGTGTCTCTTTTTTCTTTCTTTTTTTCTCAGAAACTGGGGTTTGAACTCAGGGCTTCAGGCTTGCTAGACAAGCACTATACCATTGAAGCCATACTCCAGTCAGCGCCTCTTAAGAATGTGCCACCCCTCACTGAAAATGACACATTACATACATATGCCACTGTAATCTCACCAGGAATATGGTTAGAACATGGATAGTTAATATATATTGCATGCATAAATGAGTTAATTAGTTGTAAGATTCAGCCAGAATTTTTCAGTTTTGTAGGAGTTCATCAAGGAACATTTAATTTTTTTCCTGCAGCACCTGTCCATAAAGAGCAAGTGACTTACAAACCCACTCCCAACTCCTTTCCAGAACAAAGTGTATTATACCAGGATCTCCATTGTCTCTCTCAGAGCCTTTACCATCTTTTCATAATCTTCATTTTGTTTCTGAGATTGGGCCAGCAGAGCAGAGAGCTCAGTCACCCTAAAGAAAAGAACACAGCACTGTCAGCTGGGCAGCCCATGGATGGAGCTGCGATGCAGCACACCCAAGCCCCAACCCAGACACTCCCACTTTCCACTGCAGATCTCCCCAAATCCCTTGGGTACCCCCAGCCCCTTTTGAACTCCTTAAATGCATGATGCTATATAGCCTTGAACTGGTGGGGAAAGCCAAAGCCACTCAGACACATGCAGGGATTTACCACATCTCAAGGCTGGAACACGTGTTTGGGGGCCCCAGAGCTGAAGGAAAGCCCTGGCCCAGGCCCTTCCAGGCCCCGCTTGATCTTGAAGTCAAGCATCCTGAAGCCAATAAGAACATCAGAATTGCCACATGGGAATAGCCCCAAGGTCCCTCTAGCCCAGGTTCTGACTCTGATAGGAAAAAAGGAAGGGGGACTTGGAAAAGAGAATAATCAGCCTCCCTGATATTAATCTCAAAGTTCAGCAAAATCACTGACATTTTTATCATGTAGCACAATCAACTTGGACTTTTGTGCCTGTTATATGGATGGCAAAACAAGTATTTCTCAAAGGAGTATCCCCTAGGAGTGTAGATGGTTAAGTTCTGATTTTTTTATATATCGTCTCTAAGAGCCTAAGTCACTGTATATTCATTCATTTAGTAATTATATCAATCCAGGGGCTGGGAAGGTGGCTCAGTGGTAGAGTGCTTGCCTTGCATGCATGAGGCCCTGGGTTCAATTCCTCAGCACCACATAAGCAAAAAGAAAAAAGCCGGAAGTGGCGCTGTGGCTCTAGTGGTAGAGCGCTTGCCTTGAGCTGAAGGACAGAGTTCAGGCCCCACGACCGGAAACAAACAAACAAAAATAATAATTATATCAATCCAATAAACATCAAGTGCCTATGCATGGTAGATATATAGAGGGCAAAGCACTAGAAACACAAAACTTAGTGAGACATGTCCTTTGTGCAAAACAAAATAAAATAGTTCTCCAATTTCTTTTTTTTTGTGGGGGAAGAGGGTAAGGAGGTACAGGACTTGCTAAGTTGCCTGTGCTAGCTTCTTCCTGCCCTAGTGTTTCAAGTGCTGTACCACTAAGTTTAGCTTTACTCCTCTAAGTTATGTATACCATTAATAGGTGAAGATAGAACTTTAGCCATGGGGTATAAGCTTTGTCCAATAGGATTCTGCTTATGTTCCTGCCCTTAACATCATTAAAAAAAATTTCATTACAATCCAAAAATTAAAACAGCAGGCTAACAGTGTAGTTCAGTAGTAAAACAGTTGCCCTGGTTCTGATTCCCAGCACCACAAAAATAAACAGATCAATAGACCTAACCAAAACCAAAACCAAAACTAAGCAATTAATGAGATTAATGCTGTAACAAGCAGACCAAAAAGACCAGAGTCTGGTAATATAATAGGCTATTAAAGTTATATACTTCAGAGAAGATGTGACATGTCTTCCCTAAAGGACAGGGAGAAACAGAAGAAAGCATTCCAGGTCAAAGTAAGCATGTATGAGGGCAGAGAAGCATTGAACAGCAAAAGATTTGTTATTAATAGAGGATAGCTACCTGTATAAATTAATAAGAAAGAAATCAAGCTGCAAGGTAGTCTGAGTGCAGAGGTCAGTGACAAGCCCCAAAGTGTGGCAATGGATTTCAAACTAGACTACTCTGAAACACTTCCTTCCTGTATCCTGGTGCAAATACTCTTGATATCTCCCTTGCCTATCCCTAACTCTCTAGGGAAGTCAGCTTTCCCTCTAGGAACTCTTCCTAGGACTGCAAGCTATCTCACCGATCCTGAAGCTCAGCCTTCTCCAGATCCCCTTGGCTCCTGAGCTGCATTAACTCCTGGCTCCTCTCATGGGCTTCCTTCTCCAGTTCCTGGATCTTGGCTAGCAGTTGCAGCTGCTGGGCAGGCTCGCTGTCATCCATTTTCCCAGATCCAGTAGATTCTCGAGATTGTGCTCCCATGGTCAAACGCAGACAACATGTCAGCAAGGACCCTGAAAACCTCGCATGTTCAGCCTTTAGCTCCATCAGATCTCTGAGTACAAGCAAGGAAAAGAGCAGATTCCGACAGGGACCAAAGAAGAGAATTTAGAGAATGGAAACAGAAAGCCTGAGAGGCAAGTCTGGGAAGTCATCTGAATCCAACAAATCTTCCCTATCCCAACCCTATGTCTGATCCCTTCTTCTACAGCAGCCCACTAACTTAAGTCTAGAATTGGTAGGGGTAAACCTCCTCCCTTCTGTTCCCACACTAACCTGTCAGTAGCTGACTTCATTTCCAGGAAGTGGCGTCTGAAGGTCACCACCTCCCGCCATAGACTGAGAAGGCGACCATGTTCCCCTTTCAGATAGCCCTTGAAGAACTGTGTTCAGAAACCCAGGTCACACTCAAAGGAAGACAATAACCTTGGATTTTCTTTTCTTCCTGATCTGAGCCTGGACTTTGAACTTGATACCTGATGCTTTTGCTCATTGACTTGTGCTGTACCAACTGAAGCAATGTCTCCAACCCTTGGATTTTATTTGTTTTGGATTCTTTTTTGGTGGGGTGAAGGTAGGTAGGTTGGTACTGGACCTTAAACTCAGGGCCTCAAGCTTGGTAGACAGGTGAACCACAGCCCCTTGTCTGACAGAGGTGTGTGTGTGTATGTGTGTATCTCCCAATAGAGGACTGTTTGAGCATACATACACATATTTTTTCCTTTAGCACAGAACAAAGGCTTAGGAAATGCTTACTTCCTGGGATCTGAAAATTTCCCCAGGGTTCATAACCAGTTTTTCTTCTCATTCAACTTAATGACTTTCTTAGCATCTAGATAAGCAGATTCCCACAGTAAAGGGAGTACAAGAAGAGTTGCTTTAAATGTCATGTTACCTGCCAGCAAAGCCTAAAGAAGGCATGCAATGGCACAATTACGGAAGGCCTAACCAGGACAAAGTTTTTGAAATGGATGAGGATTCTCACAGGCTTTAACAATGACAGCTCAGTTTCCACCAAGTCCTGAAATTAACCCCTTCTTGCACTGACCAGGGCAGTGCCAGACTGCACAGTTCTTCCTACCTCCTGTTCCATCTGCCACTGGCTCTCCTTCCTTATTAGTTCATCCTTGGCCTGACTCCAGTCCACTGTTAATTTTTCCACATCTTCTCGAAGGGCTTTGTTCACCACATCAGCTTTTTCCATGTGCAGCCGAAGCTCAGTGTTCACCTCTACTAGACTCTCACACCTGTACTGGGGCGGGGTAAGAACAAGTGCAAAACAAAGGTCTGGTCCAATGCTTGTCCCTCTGAGAAATAAGATGACAGTGGAATTTGTCCATTGCTAGAAATTAGAGGGCTAAGCCTGAAATCTATGGTTCTAATCCATGATAGCATTCAGAAGAAAGTTTTCCCATTGACCTTTTCCACCCTCAGGTCAAGCACCCAAGTCATAAAATTTAGGGTCCATCACCTCTGTTGCTCCTCTTCCAGGCGGATTAGCAGCTGTTCTAGGTTTGGCTCCTCCATGCATTCCCACTGCCGAGGGATTGGTCCCTTAGCCAGAGAGAGACATACCTTATGAACCTTTACAATTAAAACTAAGGCCAATTCCCTAATGCCTTTTTTTTTTTTTTTTTTACTGGTCCTAGGGCTTGAACTGAAGGCCTAGACACTGTCCTTGAGCATCTTTTTGTTCAAGGCTAGTGCTCTACCACTTAAGCCACAGCACCACTTCCGGCTTTTTCTGAGTGGTTTATTGGAGATGAGTCTCATGGACTTTCCTGCCCAAGCTGGCTTCAAACTGCTCAGCCACCTCAGTAGCTAGGATTATAGCCATGAGCCACGAGTGCCCAGCTTCCCTGATACTGTCTACAGCAGCCCATTTTTGAAATTTTCTTCACATTGTCAACAAACTGCTTCATTTCTCAATCACTGTGTCCTGGAAACAAATCCACTGTATTCCTCTCTCCAAAAGGGAAACAATAACCTCTCCTAAAAGATGGCCTAAGAAGCATAAGATCTCTTTCGCCAATGTCTTGACTTCTTTTTTTTTTTTTGGTCACTTGTGGGGCTTGAACTCTGGGCCTGGACACTGTCCCTCAGCTCTTCAGCTTAAGGCTAACTCTACCACTTGAGCCACAGTGCCACTTCTGGTGATAAGAGTCTCATAGACTTTCCTGCCCAGGCTAACTTTGAACTGTATCCTCAGATCTCAGCCTCTTGAATAGCTAGGATTACAGGCATGAGCCACTGGCATCTGGCTGTCTTGACTTCTATTACACTAATTTTGGACCTTGGGAAATCACTTATCATCTTTGTGCTACAGTGTCTTCAACTACAAAATGAAAGTGATATCATTTTCCTCAGAAAGTTGAAGACTGACATAATTCTATGATAAAGCCTAAAGGTGACTGGCCTATTCAGAGTGGGTTCAAGGTTTTAGTACCCTTCCTTTGAGAACTTTCCTGAGGAGAATGTGAGAAAGTGTCTTAGAGAGTTGGAACAAAGGCACATGGGTCTTTAAAGACCAGTCCTACCCAACCTAAAGGACAAATGTATCAACAGAGATATGCTTTTGAATGCCTGCAGCGGCCTCTGACAAATAAACACTGACACTTGGTGGAAGAAAGATGTGGTCCCTTATATTTATTGCACCCTCCCATTAACTGCACCCATTAAATCCCCTGACGTATTAATCCTTAGAGAACAGAGGAATTGGAATCTCTCAGGTTAATAACTAAGAAGATCCTAAGAAGATCAGATATCTCTAGGGCTAAAGATGGGAGAGACTTCTATTGAACACATACTGACAGCTCAAGGGAGCATGGGACTCAACCTCACTTACTCCAGTGGCTTCTAGCTGCCTCTCCAGCTCTTGGCACCAGCTCCGGTACTGCAATACCTGAGGCAAAAACAACAGGCTCTGAGTTATTACAAACAGCCCAAAGCAAAGGCCCCTGGAGATCTTGAGCAAATCTGCTGTGAATAGAGAAAGCAGGTTGTGATGGTGAGGTAAGATCCCGACATCCTATAATTGCTTTTGAGTGCTGAAAGGATCTAGGTCAGGGCTTGGAATGTGGCTTAGTGGTAGAGTGCTTACCTAGTATGTATGAAGTCCTGGGTTTGAGTCTTCAATGCCACATAAACAGAAAAAGCAAGAAGTGGTGCTGTGGCTCAAGTAGTAGAGCACTAGCCTTGAGCAAAAGAAGCTCAGGGACAGTTCCCAGGCCCTGAGTTGAAGCCCCAAGACTGGCAAAAAAAAAAAAAAAATTAGGCCTGACATAGTGGTATGTCCCCAAAATTCTAGCACACAGGTGACTAAGGCAGGATAGCCTATCCTGGCCTATGTAGTAAGACCCTGTCTCAAAATACAAGCAAGCAGAAAAAAAATAAGCCCCAAATTTTCTCTCTGCCTCTGATATTGAAGAGGCAAAACCAGGGTGAGATCTTAGCTCTAAAATAGAACAAACCTGAAGAAACTAATCTGTGTGTACATCATCTACAGAAAGGACATATTTTTAACTCATAGAATATTTGTGAACATCAAAGGAGAAGCCATGGGTGACATCTGGGATGTCAAGGTACTCTCCTAACCTGGCTAGGTATGAGCCGTTTTCCCCTACAGCTCTGCATCTTCCAGTCCTTATCCCACCCCAGTGCCCAGCTCTGATAGGTGCTCTCTTTCTCTCCCCAGAAGTGCAACTCCCTTACCTTGGCCTGTAGCTTCCTCACAAGGGTTGCTTGCCTCTGCTGGGCCTCCTGGGAGTTCTTCAGCTTCCTCCAGGAGGTAGCCTGGTTCTCTGCCATCTGCTGCTGCAGTGCCAGCACTTGCTCCTCCAGCATCAGCTGCAGTGACTGGGGCTTCATGTTCAGCCTAGGGCTGCCTGTCTCCATAGGGACAGCAGAGAGCAAGCTAGCAGGTCTTTATGCAGCCAGAGGCTTTATGCTCCCAGCAGTGTCTCTAACCATTGCTGGGTGTCTTTGACTTCCTCTTGAGCTGGGGACCAAAGCAGATAAAAGAATTGGAAGGATTGACTAGATGACACAAATATACTCAGCAAACATTTTTTAAACCTGGTAAATCTGAGTTGGACAAAGTAAATAGATTCCTTTACAAGAAGACTCATTAGAACCTTTACAACCCTAAAGCGGACACTAATCTCTAAGAGAGGGCTGTGATGAGCATCGTATTTCCCAAATTTAATGAACCAGGAAAAAGTTCCCAAGGCTATTGTACTAGACTAGGAGCCCCTGGTTTGCTGTTGCATCCCTAGCATCTGGCACAGTGACTAACAGGCATTTACGGAAGTGAAGGTGGTATTAAGCCTGGCAGGCGAGATAGAAAAACAAACAATTACAACACAATGTGGCATGTGTAAACATACAGACATCACAGGACAGCATGGAACACAAAGGAAGGGCACATCTTCCAGCTTGGGGAGCTATAAGCTATATGGCTCATCACCACCATAGTTCATACTTGATGGTTCTGTGGGGCAGTGGCTTTGCCCAGTATATTACATGCTTTTGTCTTCACAAGAATTTTGAAACCTTGTAATGCCCTCTGATCATACTATTACAATGGAATCAATGGAGGTTTATCAATTCAGATAGCTGGCATTTGGTAGATGAACGATTTGAACACAAGTAATCTGGCTCCTAACAAAGAAAAGGGGAGAGTGGCATTTCAGGCAAGGGATTCAGAAAAGAGAAGGAAGGAAGCAATTGTAGCAGGATGGCAACTACTTCTCATCTGTCAGGAACTGGGCCCAAACAGAGCAACTTGCCACCAAGAGGTAGTAGAGGCCAGCCTGTGACCTTCAGATACCCATTAGTTCCCTAATGGTAGCAGAAAAAAGTTCTGGGTGCTGGTCCAAGCTCTGCTTCTAATAGGCATGCTACTGCCCTTTTAGTCTCCTCATTCAAAAATCAGAGCTTTATGGCTATATGATGTACAAATTTATTTCTTAGGCCTCTGAAACACACAATTTCCCTATAAGATAGGTAATAGAGATAGGGGAGCTCTTTCATGTTATTAAACTTAAGGTGCTCACCAAGAGGGTTAAGGACTATTTTTACTTCCAACTACTGGTTAAGAAAACAGGGCCGGCCATGTGATGCACACCTGTATTCCCAGTACTGGAGAGGCAAAGGCAAGAGAACACTGGTTTCATGCCAGCCCTGGCAAAAGTTAGCAATCCTCTATTAACTAGTAGTACACATCTGTTGTCACAGCTATTTGAGAAGAAAGGAAAATCATAGTTTGAGATGAGCCTGGGAAAAGATAATGATCCTATCTGAAATGAAAACTCAAAAACAAAAGGACTGGGGAGTGTAGCTCAAATGGTAGAGCATCTGTCTAGCAGTGTGACGTCTTAAGTTCAATCCCCCAGTACTCGTTCACCCTTCCTCACCCCAGCCCAAAAAAGAAATTATTTCTGGTCCTTTGGAAAATCAGAATTATCTACTTACTGACCCTTATTTGATATGCCTGCCACAAGGCAAGGTGCTGAGCTGCAGTTAAACAATGCCTGTCCCCATCAGACAGGGGAGTACTCTCTAGTTCATTCTAGCTTCCTCCCACTATACTTAGAGCAGATTTCATCAGTGCACTGCATAACTGTTTTCCTTATAATAGAGTCATAGAGAAAAACTTAATTTGGTAATTTACAATAGCTTCTGGGCAACTGAATGTACTTGAGTTCTCAAAAACAGTTCTGGGCTGTAACAAAGTAGGAAGAGTACAGGAGAAACAGTGAAACAAGTTTGGGCAGAAAAGTTCCTGAGACTCTTATCTCCAATTAACCACCAAAAAACTGGAAGTGGAGCTGTGGCTTAAGTAGTAGAACACCAGCCTTGAGTGAAAAGCTATAGCGCAGAGCCCTGGTCCCAAGTTCAAGTCCCAGTACTGTCAGAAAACAACTCAAGTTTCTTTTCTGCTCATGGCTGGTGTTCTACCACTTGGTAGTGGGCTGGAGTAAAGTGGAATGAAAAAAAAGTCACAAAGGTACCAGGACTCTCTGCTTGCTCATCTCTCTTCCTCTTTCTGATCACTTTCTCTGAGGGAAGCCACATGCTCTGCCCCATAAAGAAACCTGAGGGTGAGGAACTGGGAACTGTGCCAACAGCCCTGCGAGTGAGCCATCTTGAAAGCAGATCTTCCAGGCCCAGCTGGTCACTGAAGACACACACACACACACACACACACACACACACACACACACGAAGTCACACACACACACACACACACGTCCACACACCAGCCAGACTGCGGAATCCTAAGCCACAAACACATAGCTAATGGGTTCCTGGACTTCTGATCCACAACAAGTGTGTAAGATAATACATGATTTTTGTTTCAACTACGAAATTTTGGGATAATTTCTTGCACAGCACAAAAAACTAATACATTTGAATTACTGCAAAAACTTCCTGGATAGAAGTAATGCCTCCTAATTTTATTTTTCAAGATGGTAGTCAGAGGGTCTTTTTAAACTGTAAAACAGAGCTGGGTGCCAGTGGCTCAAGCCTGTAATCCTAGCTATTCAGGAGGCTGAAATCTGAGGATTGCAGTTTGAAGTAAGGCTGGGCAGAAAAGTCCCCCGTGAGACTCTTATCTACAATAAACTACTCAAAAAAGCCAGAAGTGGTGCTTTGACTCAAGTGGTAGAGCACTAGCCTAGAGAAAAAGAGCACAGGGACAGACAGCCCCAAGACCCCAAGTTCAAGCCTTAGGACTGACAAAAAAATAAATAATAAAATGTGAAACAGGCTGGGCACTGGTGGCTGGTGCCTGTAATCCTAGCTACTCAAGAGGCTGAGATCTGAGGATCACAGTTTGAAACCAGCCGAGGCAGGAAAGTTTATGAGACTCTTATTTCCATTTAACCACCAGAAAACCAGAAGTGGTGCTGTAGCTCAACGTGGTAAAGTGCTAGCCTTGAGCTAAAGAGCTCAAGGAAATGCCCAGGTTCTGAGTTCAAGCCCCACAACCAACAACAACAACAAAAGCAAAACAGGTGATGCCACTCAGAACCTTCTAACTAAAATCTTTATAATGACCTCTATACAATCCTAATTATTTGACCCCAGCCCCAAATGACTTAATTCCACTTCCTACTCCTCAAACCCCTCCGGGCACTCAGCCCTCCTAGCTCTATGTGCTTAGCACACACGATACCCCATATCGCACACACACATTACAGGGCCTTGCCCACCTCCTCCCTACTTATCCTCACAATTTACTCCCTCTATGCCTTCACATCTGTTCAGGTGTCACTTCCCTAATCACTCATCTGAAATACCACTAATCCTCTATACACATTGATACTTCTACTCATCTTACCACACTTTATCCTTAGCTACATGTAATAAGAAGATAAATCCCACTAGTATAAACATATTGTTCTACTTAGCGCTGTGTTCTCAGCTCCCAAAACAATTCCTGGCATTTAAGAGGTGCCCACTGACTATTTGACTGATGTAAGGCCATAAGGTAACATGATCCATATTATCATACACAGCCTTGCAAAACACTGACAGTTCTATAAGCATTCAAATAGCAGAAAGAAGCCAGGTGCCCAGTGGCTCATACCTGTAATCCTAGCTACTCAGGAGGCTGAGATTTGAGGATCAAAATTCGAAACCAGCCCAAACAGGAAAGTCTGTGAGACTCTTATCTCCAATTAACTACCAAAAAAGAAAAAACAAAAAAAAAAAAGCTGGAAGTGGAGTTGTGGCTTAGTTGGTAGAATGATAGCCTTGAGCACAAAAGATCAGGGGCAGTGCCCAGGCTCTGAGTTCAAGCTCTGGGACCCACACACATATACACAAAAAAAAAAAACAAGAGAGGAGATCATGTGTAGTCTGTATAGCACTTTATCCAAATAATCATTTGCAATCTTCACTTTAAAAAAATAACACCTTAGGGGCTGAGAATGTGGCTAAGTGGCAGAGTGTTTGTCTGGTGTGCAAGAAGCCCTAGATTGGATTCCCCAGTACCACATAAACAGGAAAAAGCTGGAGGTGATGCCGTGGCTCAAGTGGTAGAGCTCTAACCTTGAGCAAAAGAAGCTCAGGAACAGTGCCCAGACCTTGAGTTCAAGCCCCAGGACTGGCAAAAACAAAACAACCTTAAGAGATTATTATTCTCTTTTTTTTTCTCCTTCCAGCTGTGGGGCCTGAACTCTGGGTCTGAGCGCTGTCCCTCAGCTCTTCAGCTCAAGGCTAGCACTCTACCACTGGAGCTACAGCGCCACTTCCGGCTTTTTCTGCTTATGTGGTGCTTAGAAATCGAACCCAGGGCCTCAGGCATGCAAGGCAAGCGCTCTACCACTGAGCCACCTTCTCAGCCCAAGAGATTATTATTCTCATATTCAAAAAGACTGATTCAAAAAAAAATGGAAGGGGTAAAAAGATTAGTGGAAAGGCAGAGACTGAACCCAATCTGATTACAAATTCTATACCTTTAATGTTAACTGAGTCCAAACTAACAAATTATATGATATCAGAGTTCTGAGAGGCAATTCTTATTTTTTTAATCAATAAAAATTAGGTAGACCAATTTATTTTTTTGATATTTCACATGTGTAATTGTGGAAGAGCTATTAACAAATTTCAGCATCAACTGCCAACTCTGTATTCATGTTTAACAATAAATAAATAAATAAAAGGCTTCTAGGCCTTTTTAATACAGGCCAAGTATCCTGTGGCAAAACAAATGGTATTGGTGCGGGAAGATTTGAGGGTGCAATATGAAAGGAATTAAGATGTTTTATTGCAACTGATGTTCAGTTGGCAAATAACAGAACACAAACATACACTAAATGGCTATCATGGTTTTCAACAATCTGTAAAAATAACTCTGAAGGCTGAAACTAGTAAGACTGATAAGATTTGATCCTAATTTTCTAAGGTGCAGTGGGACATAGGGAAGAGATGGGGAGGGCTGGCAGTATATGCTGTTTGAGTTGGGACAGTGGCTCATATCAGTTCATATCCACATCAGGATACAACATCCCAAACTGTGGCTATTAAGGACCAATAACTTCATCAGCCATTTACTAAGTGCCAAGAGTGGTCTATAGGAATACACCAGGATTAGGTGGGAGAGGATGAGACAAAAGCAGGAAAATGAAGAGAGGGAAATATATGTGAATATTGTTGGGAGCTGCTTTGGTAACCACTCGGAGTTCTTTCTATAGACTACCATCACCAGACAATAGTTTTAAAGCCCAATTTGAAGAGATAATACAGTTCAGTTTTGATAAGACTATTTCCAAGAATACAAGTCTGACTGAGTAAAAATATCAATAAATATTCGGAGGTATATTTGTGTTACAGCAAGTAAAAACAACAATTAATTGGAACTGTTGAATTAACACACAGAGACCTTAATGAAGAATGCCTTGAATAGTCTTAAGACATATTTAGGTCAGCAGCACAGGATAGTAATTTATAGACTACAAACGTGTTCCTTCCAATTCACCAAAAATGGTTATATTCCAACTTTCCAAGAACTATTTTTTTTTCAAATCCACACTCTCAAAAGTAGAAGCTAGGGGGTGGGAAGGTGGCTCAGTGGTAGAGTGCTTGCCTTACATGCATGAGGCCCTGGGTTTGATTCCTCAGCACCACATAAGCAGAAAAAGCTGGAAGTGGCACTGTGGCTCAAGTGGTAGAGCGCTAGTCTCAAGCTCAAGAGTTGAGGGACAGCGCCCAGGCCCACTGGAGTTCAGGCCCTATGACTGACAAAAAAAAAAATCGAAGCTGGGTGCCGGTGGCCCACGCCTGTAATCCTAGCTACTCAGGAGGCTGAGATCTGAGGATCGAGGTTCAAAGCCAGCCCTGGCAGGAAAGACCGTGAGACTCCTATCTCCAATAAACCACTAGAAAACCAGAAGTGGCACTGTGACTCACGTGGTAGAGAGCTGGCCTTGAGCTGAAGAGATGAGAGACAGTGCCCAGGCCCAGAGTTCAAGCCCCACGACTGGCAAAAAAAAAAAAAAAAGTAGAAGTTACATGAACCAAGTAATTTCAGACTTAAGCCAGTTTTCAGTCCATAGCAAACAGGATGATTCTAACCATGAGCCATTTCTCAAACCACCACTCTAAAGAGAAATGGATGATGCTCATCTTATCAAAAGATGCTCCAAGAGCTAAGAATGTCATTAAACTCAGCACTGAAGTACATCAACAACCAAATACACCAAACTGGAAACTCCCATCTCCAGCACCAATAATGGAAGCTAAACAATTATACTTTAAATCCTTCACAGGTCTTTCCTAATGGAAAATCCTGAGCTTTTTTTTTGAACACTTTGACTTTATAGAAGGCAGGTTGGCTAATGAGGAAACTTACTTTTACTAGAGACAACCAACAGTCTTTGATTTGGGGCACTTATTCTTTTCATAGACCCTTAGCCAGCATTGAAGTAGATTATTTAGCACTGCATTTTACAAATTAAAACTCAAGCAGATGTCAAGTCATTTGTCATAAACTATGGGAGGCCTCTTATGGTCAGATACATTATTGTCTGATGCGAGAGGCAATTCTAACATGGTGAAATAATGACACCCATGCCTGCAGCTTTCTGAAGACAAGAGGAAGGCAGGATGTTACTGAAGGAGCACAGAACAAGCCCCTCCTAGCCTTAGGTTTGTTATGAAGTCACTCATTAATGTGGGTAACATCAGTTCTCTTTTCTAAGCCTTCTAACACAATAAAATGAAAATCATCATCTTCACACATCAATATAACAGCCATTTACTAAAACCAAAGGCTAGCTAAGTGAATTTATCACCTTGTCCTGTGGACAGGTTCCAGACCCTCCCACTAGTCCCATTAGTTGATCATATTACTTGATCTACAAGTGCCTAGGTTTCTTCAAATGCAAAATATGAAGACACAGAATCCACCAAAATAGATCATAATAAGAATTTGATGGACCTATGCACGCATTTAGTAACATCTGACATTGTGTGACTATTCGGTTAATGTTAACTATTATTACTATCATCATACGCTAGACCCTGGGTTAAAAAAATGAAAAAAGCAAAGCATAAGTCTGAGCAAAGACAGTTCAGGGCGTGAAAGGGGCAGGAAAAGTGACTGTGCGATGGACAGAAGCTGAGAGAGAGGTTAATTGCGCCTGGAGGTTCCCAAGGAGTGACACTTGAGTCCTGAATCATGGGTCCAGCACTGAGAAGGGGTCAACTCTGGTAATTCTAGCTCTAGGGAGGCTAAGGCCGGATGATTGCGAGTTAGTTCCAGGACAGCCTTGGCTACACGAGGCAAAAGCGAGGGGAGGGGAGAGGAAGGAAACGGAAAGGAAGAAAAGAAAAAAGCTAGGCGTAGCGGTGCTCAGCTTTAATCTCAACTATTCAGGTGCAGTGGTTAGGAGGTAGTTGGGAGGATCCCGGTGAGAGGCCCGCCCAGTGGGGTGAGGGGGGTGGAGGGAAGCGGGAGACATTGTGAGTTCAAACACCAGAGGGACAGACTTTCGCACAGATCCGGGGCAGGGGGGTACAGACAAGGGGAGCTGCAAGGCTCTAGGGGCTGGGGGCTGGGGGCCGGGGGGGGGAGGGAAGAGGGCGGGAGAAGGGGCCCCGCGGCCCCACAGCCGGGGCTGCTCGGCTGCGGAGCCCAGGAGTGGGGTCCTCGTTCTGCGCCCACTGGAGCCCAGAGCGGCGGCGGTGCGCCGGCGGGGCCCTGGGGGGTCTTGGGGGCTCTAGGACCGGTTCCAGCTCCACACAGGGCCTCAGAGCCCGCCCGGGACCCAACGCGAGGCCGTGGCCCCGGCGGGCGGCCCCAGGCCGTTACCGAGCACCCCCCGCCTGCCCCGGCCCCACCTCACCATGACCGGCGCCCGCGGATTCCGGGAATGCTCCGCCGCCAAAGAGCGGCGGCAGCCACGGCGAGGCCCCGCCGGGGGCGGGGGGCTGGGGGTCCCGTGCTCAGGCCCCGCCCCCCAAACTCCCGCCCGGAGCCTTCGGGACAGGGAGGGGAGGGGCTCGCCCCGCCGGATGACGCACGCCGCTAAAGCACGGCCTCCCGCCATGTTGGGTACTGGCAGGAGACTCCCTGGAAAGGCTCAGAAGTAAAGAGGGCATAGATTTAAGACCTAAGATTCCTCGCCCGACGTAGAGACAGCCCGAGTCTCTGGATTCCAGGAAATGGACGACCTGAGAAGAGGGGAAGCCTGGATCTCACGCATGCCTTTTGGCTTCAGAGTTATTTACTGCTCATGCGTAAATCCGATTGCGCTCCAGATGCGCCTGCGCAGTACTGCGCGCAGGAACCTCAGTGCCATTACTAGGAGGGCGTCCGCCGCGCGTGGTTCCCGCAACTAGATTTCCTCGGGACGACCAATTCCAGGATTTACTCACTTTCTGACCCTGATGTCGTTAATCCGCGTCAAGCAACACAGCACACAGCATTTAATTCGAGTCGTTTGGAACACCAGAGATTGGTTCCTAGTCTCAATGGCCTAAATGTGACTTTCACAGAATTTCGTTCTGTACTTTCTTTGAATTGAACCTCGCATCAACCTACATCTTCCACTCAGTGGCTCTCAATTTTTAGTATAGGGTGAACCTGAGAATGCAACACTTTTTTCCCCCTGTGTACAAAGGTTTGAATTCAGAACCTTGTGCTTGGTAGGAAGCCTTTCGAATGTTTGAATAATATGTACAGCATTTTTGGCTTTATTTTTTAAAGATAGGGTATCTCTTTTTGTTGTTATTGTTGTTCAGGCCAGCCTTAATCGTGATTCTCCTATTTAAACTTCTTATGCATAGCTGAAATGTAGCAGTGTGTACACCACACCTAGCTATTGATTAAAGATGGGGCTTTTAATAACTTTTTGCTCTAGCTGGCTTGGAACCAAGATCTTTCAGATGTCTATTTCCCAAGTAGCTAGGTTTGCAGGTATGAGCCATCATCACCTGTCTGGCACTTTGTTAAGAGTTAGGTTCTATGTTTCTCAGATAAAAACTTCTTAAAAGCAAATATGGGAATTGTCTGTGCACGAGTGCGTACGATTGTCTCTCATTGTCTAGGTACATAGTGTACATCAGGCTCCCCAAATCCTGTAGTGTTCTAGGATCATTTGGAATAATAGAGTATTCATAATTTGGAACTCAAGAACACTATGGGAAAAGATTAAACAAAACACAAATACATCCCTGGCTATGCTCAGATCTGTCTGATGAACGAGACTGGGGAGAAGGCCTCAAAGGAAGCTGGGATGGAGAGGGATATTATATCATTTGAAAGATAACCATCCTTGGTCCCCAAGTAAACTGGGCTTCTTCCTTTACATCTAAATTCTATCGCTGAGAATGTACCTTATATCCTAATTATCAATAGGAGCCTGTACTCCAGCCGTGTTCATTGTTTTACATTCTTCCTGCCCTATGACAAGAGGCATCCTGAACTGATGCATAGGGTTTTTTGTTCCTTAATTATCTGTGTGAAATTTCAAAGTATGATGCTATATTAACACACTACTCCCCACAAGCCTAAAATCTGCTTGAAAATTCTTTAACTCTTTATCCATTGCAAGAATACAAAGTACTTTGCAGGCAGAGTTGTGCATACCTGTAATCTCAGGTTGAATTATTATAGTTTCTGCCTGGGAAAATGCAGCAAAAAGAGACAACATAAGTTGTGGTGGCAGACCCAGAACAGTGCTGCTGTGTTGGGTTGGCCTGAGCAATACTTTCTGTAGGCTGACTGCAGGCTAAGAGCCTATAAGAGTGCACCCTAGGTCTTGTTTAGTAGTGTATCTCAGAAGGGTAAATGAGTCCTAGACATAAGAAGTTCATCAACTGACCACTGATGATAAAGATGCCTTTTGCAAAGGGAACTACAGAAGAAGCATCCAGCAGGGAAGCCCTGAAGAGCCAATAAAAGCATCCTATGATGCTTTGATGATGATCAGAGACAGATGACAATAGACATCTGTGAGGCCCAGACAGTACTGAGCCAGCTATCATGCTAGGTTTTTCCCATTCCTTTCCCTAATTCTTCTGTCCATGTCAGCACCTTGGGTGACTGAAGGGAGCTGAGGAAGACATAAGGGGACAACAGAGGAAACTCCCCACCACTATCATGTTCCTCTAGCTCCAAGCTGATAATTGAAGTATTGCCAGTTCATAGAACGAAAACAGCTTGTTGCTGCCTGTCCACATGAGTCCATTGCTTTACCAGTAAATAAACACTGAGCACCTGTTATGTGCTGGAAGGGACGCAAAAAAACAATAACCCAGAGACCCTGTCCGTTCTCAGAGGCTTAGTTCACAGACTCACAAGGGAGGCAAGTGACACACATTCAGCATGGTAAATTCTGTAAAGAGGCTGGCTCCACAAGACAGAGATGTTATGGCTTCATTGTGAAGGAGAAAAAGGCTAAAAAGCCAGGCAATTGTGCCTCATGCCATCTCAGAAGGCTGAGATCTAGAGAATCAACCTTCAATGCCAGCCCAAGTAAAAGAGTCTGTGAGGCTCTATATCCAAAAAATAACTAGGCAAAAGCTAGCCTGAAGATGTGACTCAAGTACTAGAGTGACAGCTGAGCAAGCACCAGGCCCTGAGTTCAAACTCCAATGCCACAAACACACACACAAAAATGCTGAGCAGACAAAGAGGATGGCATTCCAAGAAGAATGTGTGCATAGGCCCAGTGGTATGCAAGATCATGGAACATGGAGAAGGCTGGTAATTTCCTCCGGGACCCCCTTCTTGACTGATTCTGACAGTTGGTTGGATTCTGTGACTCTCTTTGGATTGGGCATTTCAACAATAATCTGATCTTCTCTGTCATCTGAGTATTTTCTTCCTGCTCCTGACCCTCAGGAGCTCTTGCCTCAGTGGTCAGGGGTCATTGCAATTTCAACCCCTTCCCACAGACCTAGTCAGGCTCTCAGTGACCAGCCCGCTTAAGTTTGACTTTTCTTTTTTGTGCCATACTGGGGCTTGAACTTGGGGCCTAGGCACTGTCTGTCCCTGAGCTTCTTTTGCTCAAGGCTAGCACTCTACCACTTGAGCCATAGTGCTGCTTCTGTTTTTTTCTGTTTATATGGTATTAAGGAATCGAACCCAGGGTTTCGTGCATGCTAGGCAAGCACTCTACCACTGTGCCACATTCCTAGCCCAGTTTGACATTTCTTGATGGAACTCTGGTATTCTTTTTTTTTTTTTTTCACCAGTCCTGGGGCTTGAACTCAGGGCCTGGGCACTGTCCTTCCCTGAGCTTCGGTTGCTCAAGGCTAGAACTCTACCACTTGAGCCACAGCGCCACTTCTGGCTTTTTCTGTGTATGGGTACTGAGGAATCAAACTCAGGACTTCATGCATGCTAGGCAAGCACTCTTTTGCTAAGCCATATTCCCAGCCCAGGGGCTGGTATTCATGTCACTGTTCAGAGTTTGGTCACTAAGGGATGTGTGCCACATACTTGTTTGGTTTAACTCTGTCTTCAAATGTATTCTGTATAAATATCATACTTCAATCAAAGCTTTTCAATTATATTACTATACTGCCTGGGAAACTATCCAGGAGACTGATACAAATGGCTGCTTCTCGAGTGACTTGGAAGACCTCTGTCTGGGTGGAAGAGAAACTTTTCCTTGTGCATTCCTTTTTATTTATTTTTAGCTTTAATTTTGGTTCTGAGGCTGGAACCCAGATGGAGTCTTGTACATGCTAAGCATGTGGGCTATTACCTATTCTTTCAACCCTTCTTGAACATTCTTTGTTCTGTGGGAATTGTCTTCATTGTGAATTCATATTATTTTTCTTTCTAAGGCATGTTTCTTTTTTTTCTTTTTGTTGGTCATGGGCTTGAACTCTGGGCCTGGGCGCTGTCCCTTAGCTCTTCAGCTCAAGGCTAGTGTTCTACCACTTGAGCCACAGTGCCACTTCCAGTTTTCTGAGTGGTTTATTGGAGATAATTCTCAACCGACTTTCCTGCCTGGGCTGGCTTTGTACTGCAACCCTCAGATCTCAGCCTCCTGAGAGCTGGTATTACAGGTGTGAGCCACCAGTGCCCAGCACCATATTCCTTTTTTTTTTTTAACATAATCTTATTGTTTCTACTAAGGTATTGTACAAATGGGTTACTATTTCATAATTCAGGTAATGCATACATTTCTCTTTTGGACAATGTCACCCCTTCCTTTACTTTCCCTCAGTTTCTCCCTCCTGTCCTTACCCACAAGTTGCATTGCATAGTTCATTTCCACATAGTGTATCCTAAATACCTAATGTGTGTTAATTTTTTTTTTCTTCTGTCAGTTGTGGGTCTTGAACTCTGGTCCTGGGCGCTGTTCCTGAGTTCTTCAGCTCAAGGCAAGCACTCTACCACTTTTCTGGCATGAGCCACTGGTGCCTGGCAAGTGTGTTACTTTTTTTTGCCAGTCATGGGACCTGAACTCTGGGCCTGGGCACTGTCCCTTAGCTCTTCAGCTCAAGGCTAGCACTCTACCACCTGAGCCACAGTGCCATTTCCGGCTTTTTCTGCTTATGTGGTGCTGAGGAATTGAACCCAGAGCCTCATGCATGCAAGGCAAGCACTCTACCATTGAGCCACCTTCCCAGCCTCATGTGTTACTTTTTTTTTTTTTTTGTCGGTTGTGGGGCTTGAACTCTGGGCCTGGGCGCTGTCCCTCAGCTCTTCAGCTCAAGGCGAGCGCTCTACCGCTTGAGCTACAGCGCCACTTCTGGTTTTCTGGTGGTTTATTGGAGATAGGAGTTTCATGGTCTCTCCTGCCTGGGCTGGCTTTGAACCGTGATCCTCAGATCTCAGCCTCTTGAGTAGCTAGGATTACAGGCATGAGCCACCAGCGCCCGGCTCATGTGTTACTTTTTAAAAAGAGTTTTTGGAGCCGGGCGCTGGTGGCTCATGCTTGTAATCC